AATTTGGCAACTTTGCATTTAGATAGCTTGCAAAAGCATCAATGTTTGGCTCCCCCAACATCTCGCATACAGTTTTGAAAACCTCAGTGTTCAGCTCCCATTCGGTGCGCTCATTAAAATGTCTTGACTGAAAATCAGCCTCCACATTATCTTTTCCTGGTATATGTGTTGCTGTGAGCCAAACATTGTTCTGGATACTCCAAAACCAAATTGTTTTTGCAATCTTGTTACATAGGATTGAGTGGGTGCCCCCCATATTATTAATATATGAAACTGCAGTAGTGTTATCACACTTAACTAGCACATGCTTATTGGCAAGTTTGGATGTAAAACTCTGTAGCCCATACTGAATGGCTAACAATTCCAACGCATTTATGTTGCTCTCATTGTGTTCAATTTCAAAGTCCATAAATTTCCCTTGTGCTTTAAGTCCTTCGCATACAGCTCCCCATCCTAACATTGAGGCATCTGTAGCTATTTCTATCTCTGGATTATCTCGTGCAATTAATCCCCTTGCACAGTCAAGATTTTTTATCCACCAATTTAAGTCAGTTTTCATATCCTCATTGATAGTCATCATTGTGTCAAAATTGCCTGCCCCTGCTTTTAGTGCTTGGATTTTTGAAATTTCCAAATTCCTATAATGTAACTTTCCATACTGAACTCCAGGGAAGCTTGAAACCATTTTCCCAATTACTCTTGCTACATCCCTGACTGTACTTTTTTCCTTTTTAATTATGTCCTCTAAAATCAATTTTAGTTTATTTTTCTTATCAGCTGTTAAAGTAACAGTCATCTGTACTGAATCTAAAACAAACCCAAGCACCTTAACAGTTTGACTAGGGCTTTTCATTGATTTTTCCGGATGGACAATAAATCCCAACTTAGCAAACAAGTTTTTGCTTTCTGTGATTGTATTCATTGCACCTGAATAATCTGCACTTTGTATATATGTATCATCAATATATCCCGATACAGTATGTCCCCCTACCCTCAACTGCGAGTAACAGGGTTTCATTAATTTAGTAAATAGCCTCGGAGCTGAGGATAGACCATTGGGGAGACAGGTATATTGATACAATTCCCCTTTCCACTGAAATCTTAGGTATTTCCTATGCTCCTTAGCTATAGGGACTGTGTAGTAGGCATCTCTCAGGTCTATAGTTGCCATATAACAATTTGGTATCACCAATTTTAAAATAGACTGCAGAGTGTCCATTTTAAACTTATTGTATTCCACAAACTTATTCAATTTTTTAAGGTTCAGAATCGTGCGATAAGTTCCATCAGGTTTTGGCCTAAGAAAAATATTGGACACAAATTGTCCAGCACAAACTTTTGTTTTCTCTAAAACTCCTTTCTTCCTTAGTTTAGCTATTTCTTCGTCAACGATTTGACTTTCATTTGCATTAAATTTTATTCCGGGTGGATTTGAGTGTTGCTCTGGACACTCATTTTCCTTGAATGTTATATGGCATCCTTTGACCATGTCAAGAATATTCTTATCCCCTGTTATCTGCTCCCATGCAGAATAAAATTGCTGGATTCGGCCAGCTATAGGGATGTTTACCTGAGACAATAAAGAGTTTATTTCTTGGTTGCTGTCTCGGTGGATGTTGATGTGGCTTTCCCCTTGTGGTGGTATGAGTGGCGATATTGATTTGGTCCCCCTAAAAAAGGTCTTGAATAAGGGTTTGTACGGGCTCTGCCACTGCCATATCCTTTATAAGCTCCTCCTTGTTTTGATCTGTATTGAGACCTCCCATATGTCTTTCGACTTCCTCGTGCTGCTCTACTTTCCAGCAACTTATGTGTCACTTTGTTATCATCTGTGATATCTTTTATCTGCTTGGTTACATTCTCACCAAACAGCATGTCAGTAAATGCTATTTTTTGAGAGCAAAGATGGCTGTAATCTTTTGCTATTTGGGGTTTCAAGGCATCCTTTCGCCTCTGGGCTAGTTCCCAGTTTGCTGCACCCAAACACACAAGCGCATCCTCAGTGGCTTTCCAAATTTTGTCCAGTACTTCCTGTGGTTCCTTATCAGTTCCTGTTTCCTTTAAAATTAAGTCAGCTATCAAGGCGACATTCGTCGTCCCTTTAACAAGTGCATTCTGAACTCTTTGCATTTTTACATCCGTTGTTCTAGCTTCCGCGGGAACACGGTCCCAAATTACTTGATTTACTTTAATTTGCGACAGACCAGCACAGTTCTCAGGTCTGTAAATTTTATCGAGAGTCTCTTTCTCGAAGTCTTCTTCCGGTTTTTGGCGCATAAGCTTGGTTATGTTTGTAGCTAAGCTCTCATTAATTTTCGGGCCTGTTTTCTCCTTATTGCTAGACTTTCGTTCAAGGCTAGCCAAAAGTCGACTCGGTACAGAGTCAGTAGTATCACTAGTTTTAGGCTGTTCTTCGACAACCCCTTTACTAGTATCTTCTTGCCGTTCTGGTTCACTGCATTCGTCGCTCTGTGAACTGTCATCTTCGATACTTTCGACGGCCACGGGCTGTTGCAGGTTATCTGTGAGTTGGGTGAAACTCTTTGCCAATGATTCATTTAATATCTTAAAATTCTGGCTCAGCGAGTCAGTAATGGTCTTGACTACGTCAAGACTAAATGTTCCTGCATGTTCGTCCTGACCACGTGTTATCTCATCTAGTTCTCGTCGTAAAACATCGCCCGTTTCTTCGTCTAAAGACATTTCCCTTCGCTGTTCTGCTTTTGGTTCGAAGCAGACAAATTCCAACTCCAATTCCAAGTAAAAGGACTCGTATTTCCTTGTCTAAGACAAATATTACTTGGACAAACGTAAAGGCGACCGAACTCGACGGCGAACAACGCAAAATGTGACCGGTCATGGTGTAACGCAATCTCTCATGTGATCTCCAGTCACGTGGTAGTGAGGTAGAATAGCCTGCATACACTAAAGTAGGTCATTAAACCGTGAAACAAAAATTGACATATTCAACGCAAGTAGAGTGCAAGTACTTAGGTGCAATAGTGCACTATTTTTAAAATCAATTTAACTAAAATGTGCTTAACATGTGGTATACAGTAGCATGAATTAGAAACAAAGAAAACAACGGAATTATAGCAGTTTGTGGCCAAATGTGGAATGACGTGCGTGGAGTGACTTGTTCAAGGAATCGATGCCATGAATGAATTAACGATTTTAATAGTCCTAGTTCTCACCTCTGCTTGCCACAAGAATTAGAGTTCTCTAGATTCTAGTTGTCTATTTCTAGTTTCTTTCCAATTTTTGTAATTAAATAGCATGCAGTACTAATATTTAGATTCAAAACTAGCGCTAGCCTTTACCAAAATATGGATACATTTCTGATTCCGTTTTTTCAGTGCCGTTTGTCGATTGTCATCGACATCATTCACATTGCACCAACAGCAATCAGTTGCTCAGCAATCAATTCATTCTTTGTCTGACGAGCATGCATGAGTGGTGTTTTATGGGAATTGTCTTTGTGATTCACATTCGCACCTGCTTCGAGCAAAGTCTAGATAATTCTCTCGTTCCCCTTTTTTGCAGTCCATATCAGGGGTGTTTGTCCACCGCATCTACTTCTGCACCGGAATCTGTTAGTATCTCTGCAATTTTGTCTCTGCTGTTTGGGATGGCAAGCATCAATGGCGTTCTTTGGTTTCTACTTTGGACGTTAACATCTGCACCAGCTCTGATCAAGGAAATAACGGTTTTCTCCATTCCATATATTGTAGCCAAAATCAATGGAGTTTCTCCTAGTACATCAAAAACATTCACCTCCGCTCCTGCATTTATCAGGATCTCAGCTTGTTTTTCATTGATTGTATGCACAGCATGCATCAATGGTGACATTTTAGATTTATCCTTAACGTTAACATCTGCACCAGCATTGATCAAGCAAAGAACAATTTTCTCCATTCCGTATATTGTAGCCCAAGTCAATGGGGTTCTTCCTTGTTCATCGACGACATTCACATCTGCGCCTGCATTTATAAATATTTCAGCTGGTTTTTCTTTGATGTTTTTAACAGCATACATCAATGTTGAAATTTTAGACTTGTCTTTAACGTTAATATCTGCACCTGCTTTGGTTAACATATGAAAAATCTTATCATTCTCCATCTCGGCAGCAAACATCAGTGCTGTCTTTCCGTCATCATTCACAACGTTCACATCAACACCGACATCGATTAGATATTCTGCAATGACTTCTTTCGAGTTTTTGCAAGCATGTATCAGTGGTGTATTTTGAAATTTGTCTTTGCAATTCTTATCAGCACCTTCTTTTATCAACGTATCTACCATTTCGTCGTGTCCTCTTTTGACCGCCCAAACAAGTGCTGTTTCTAGGACGGCTTTACTATCAGTGGCAGTAGGATATGCACCAGCATCAAGAAGTCTTTCTGCAATGTTTTCTTTGTTATTTTTGACAGCAATCATCAATGGTGATTTCTGATCTTTGTCTTTTCTATTGACATCTGCGCCAGATTTAATCAAAGCATTGGCAATTTTGTCATATCTGTTTCGTAAAGCCCATATCAGTGATGTTTCTTCTTTGCTATCGGCAAGATTCACGTCTACACCAGCAGCAAGAAGTCTTTCTACAATGTTGTCTCCACTATGTTCGACAAAATTGGCCAATACCGATAAATAATGTCTGTTATACTCAAATATTAGTTCCCATTTTATTACTGACTTAATCATTTCTTTACCATGTTTCGCTATAAAATCTCCTAGGGTTCCATCATCGGTGGTGTATTCCACTGCTGATTTTCCCTTCGGATCAACCATGCTCTGATCTGCTCCAGAATCTAAAAGTGCTTTAACAACTTCTTCTTTCCCTTCGATTGCAGCATTCATCAACATTGTTTTTCCTGACATGTCAGTAACATTTATATCTCCATCAGTGCCTATGAGTGCAGCAGCAATAGCTCTCACGGGGTCATCTATGCGTATTTCTATTTTACCAGTGGTAACTGGAAAAGCGTTTCCTTTAGTCAGCAACCAGGTAATTACAGGCCAGCTTAATTTTTTAGCCTCATAAACGATGGGCGATGATTTTCCAGTTTCATCAATTAAAGTAACAACTGTATTTGAAGCTCTCTTCGATGAGGTTGGTGGATTTTGGGGATGATAACATGGAAGCAAATATTGCTCTGCTATCAACAACAACAACAACACCATGATATCAGTCACAATTGCAACGATTAACAATAGTTAAAGCGTTTGGTAAGTGTTTTTTGTTTGTCATTTAATTAGTCTAATTACTATTGACAATGTATGTGGTATCTAATATTATTTTTGGAAGCTCATAATAAAACCTGAGAGAAAAATCGTTTTGTCAAAAAACAACATAAGCAACAAATGCGCTGGCATATTATGTTAATATAAATACTCTGATCGATTTTCTTGTAGTAATACATATGTGACGAACTCGAAAGAAATTTGCAAATTCGCTAAGTAGAAATGGAGAATATCATTATTTTTTTGCGCAGAACAATCACAATTTTCTCTAAATACAAACTTGTGCGGTGCACGTGCGATCGATGTGTTCAGAAATAGAACAAGATTGGGACAATTAATTGCGATTAGTATCTAAATAGTATAGTATACAAAAAAATATAAATAAAGAAACTGCAATACCTGGAAGGCGCATCTTTTCATCCATCAGGCGACGAGATGCCTCGTGGTATTCGTCCTCATTTATAACAATAGAAAGTTCAATTTTTGTAGTATCTTCGGGAGCACTGTTAATGAGGTCTTGATTGATGAACACGTCCTCAAGATTGCTTTTTAACTCTCCTGTCTTGTAGCTTAAAAAATAACATAGTTGAAATTAGAAGAACCAAAAGAATAGCATTCATTGTGCTACGATATAAAAAAAACCTGTGTAGGACGTCGATGCAGCTTTCATCTGGCAAATAAAACAAGAACTTTTTGCTCTCTCAGGAACTAAAAACCAAGATGGACGGGCTTTCTCCCGAATTATTCATGGCATATCAATATGTAAATACATAAAAAATTATCATCTAGTTGGGATCTTGTAGGGTCTAAGAAGGAAATTTATGTGATAATCGGTGAGTGGGGCCTTCAAAGCAATCTCCTTAGGGCCCCTAATCGGCAGTCTTCAAGATCACCTTTACGAGGAAACAGTT